TTTCACTAGTTTCTGTATCTCAGAAATGCTAAGTGGCTTTGCCTGAAGCCATACAGCTGGTGAGGGGCGAAGCCGATATTTGTAACTGGAGTTTTCTTTTATCCCTCTATTCCCCCCTTCTCCCCTAGGTCTCTTGTGTAAAAATAGCTTTGTTTGTGGCATCTCTCTTTTTATTAGCAAAAATTTTATAGCTAGCAAGTCTGAGTGAGAAATTTATACTTCCTTCCTCTCCTCTTCATGTCCTGCTAAATTCCTCCAGCAGACAGAAAAAATAATGAAAAAACAGAAATATTCTCACTTTGTCCTGCAGGAGCCACCCTCACCCTAGAACATCTGTTTCCAGCTTCGTAGCCAGGATCTCTCAGGGTCGCAATAGACCAGATATTCTAGAAGCTGGAGGAAACTGACTCATCCAATCTATGCAGTTCACTGCCAGGAGCTCTAACCGTTTTTTTTCCCCCTGTAAATTTGGGTATCAGTGAGGAAATTTTAAAAACTTTTATTCCTTCAAATTTTGAATTGGTGATGTCTTTATATGGTTCAGTAACAAATAAGCTTTACATAAAGAATATAGTACAATACAATATCCTTTTTACAAAGTTCACATGGCAGGTTAGCAATGTTATTGATTTAGTTTCTTTTGTATTTCCAGAGGATATTTTATGCACACACAAATGTACATTTTGCTTTATAAAGTACTGTAATGTTTTTCCTCCATCTTCATTGTTCCATATAATACTATACTTTGGACATCTTATATGTACATAAAACATCCTCTGTCTCACTCTTTAGCTGGCTAGCTTCAGAGTGTTTTCACTGTATGGATGAGTCTATGCTTATTTACCTAATTCTCTGTTGATTAACATGTAAGGTGTAACACTAAATGCATGGCTTTGTGAATAGTTCACTTCACATACACGTGGATATATCTGAGGAGGCATGCATTTGTCCTATTTCTGAGTATGTACAAATTGTCCCTCCTGGGCTTGCACCGGCTATGGCCCTGCAGCCATGTACGAAACAGGCAATTTCATCAATGAAATGTGTTTTGGATTTTTGTCAACCAATCTGAGACTAAAAAAAAATATCAATTTTATTTATTTCTTCTTCTAAATCAATTGAGGGCTCAATTTGGTTTAAGAGCTTTTTTAATTACTTAGAACTCTTTTTTATTTTTTTTTATTTTTGACAGGCAGAGTGGACTGTGAGAGAGACAGATAGAAAGGTCTTCCTTTGCTGTTGGTTCACCCTCCAATGGCGGCCGGCGCACCATGCTGATCCGAAGCCAGGAGCCAGATGCTTCTGGTCTCCCATGCGGGTGCAGAGCCCAAGCACTTGGGCCATCCTCCACTGCACTCCCAGGCCATAACACAGAGCTGGCCTGGAAGAGGGGCAACTGGGACAGAATCCGGCGCCCTGATTGGGACTAGAACCCGGGGTGCCGGTGCCGCTAGGCGGAGGATTAGCCTAGTGAGCCCCGGCGCCAGCCAATTACTTAGAACTCTTTTGACTGCCAGGGACTGAATGCCCCCTCCATCAGATTTAAGCAAGAAGATTTTTGTCGTCTCATCAATAGAATCTGGAAGTAAATACAGGATTTCCAATGCACCGTAATCCACAGGTGAAAATGTCGCCAATGCCTGTGATTTCGCTCTCACGCCCTCTCCTGCCCCAGCTCGTCTCTGTCTTGGTCTTAGTCCCACACAGCTTCCCCTTCCTTCGTTCTCATAGCTCCAACATCGGTGGAGACCGTGTTCTGAATCTCTCTGACCTGAGTGGGGCCCAGGATGCAAGTGCTCTGATGGGCCAGGCCTGAGTCACACGATCTCCCCTCGAGCCAGGGACAGAGTCAAAATCACCCAGCTGGATGGACTGAGTGAGAGATGGGGATTCCAGCTGTCCAGTGAAAGGTCAAAGTGGTACTAAATAAAGAAGGGCAAAAAAATGCTTGCTGGTTAACATTACAAGTGTTTGCTATAATCCACACATGCCTTCTACTAACATGTGTCCTTACAAATAGACCCATTCCTTCTGAATGAAGCCATCATGAGATGCTATGAAAACTTCACTTCCCCTTTCCTGAGAGGGAAACCACACAAAGACCCATCTAGGTATGGTTGTGAGTCCGGGATTTCTGGGTGATTCTTCTTGATTAGGTTATGATATGGTTCCAGGATAACCATAAGTGCAATGCATTGAAAGACAGGGAAAGAATTGGATAATTACAGAAGAAATAAATTTGGTAAGGAGGAGATTGGGCCACAACAGAGAGGGGTTTCCAGTCCAGAGCAGTCCCCATGATAGGACAGGGACTCAAGGCACTCCCCATCTGGACGCAGTACAAGCTCCTTATCCCATCCAGCTGCTCTGGTCAGATTCCCTCCATCCTTTATCTCCCATGGCCCCATTGAGTTGGGAACATTGGGGAAGGAGATTTCTCCTGTGGGCTTTAACTCTTTACTAGCTCATTCTTGTTGAGAGCACAAAGGGTGTTTGGGGTGTGCAAGGGTCTCATTGTAAGACAAGAAATCTTAGGCTATTCTTTGGCAGAGTTACAGCTTCTCTGGAAAAAAACAGTCTTTGAAAGCACCGTGAGATATTCACCTGCAGTATAGACAGCATCTTGTACATTTTGCAGGTGTAGACACTGTGGCTCAGAGATATTCCATTCCTTTGCCTAAAACTACATGTTGGGGGTACAGAGTGAGCGATAAATTCAATCTTTGTAATTGGAGGTGTTTAGCTCTAAGGCTTAAATGTCCAGCATTCTTCCATGAAAATTTTGTTTGCAATAACAACTCCAGTGAGAAAAATCACCACTCCATGCTCAAGTCTTGATCAACTCTGGCTCTGCCCCTCCCCCTCCAAAAGCCCAGACACAAGCCAAACTATGCTCAGTTGTCCTGTAGGTGGCACTACAACCTCAGGCTACTGCTTCCCTGCGCCACAGCCTGCTCTCAAAGGAGAAAGAATCAGAAAATCTAGTTACGGAGTGCGATCCATATAATCCCATCTAAAGGTGTCCTCATTCAAACAGTTAGAGTCTGTATAGCCAACATTTAAGTTAGGATTCTTTGCCCCGAAATTTCATTACATTTTTTCAATAGATTATACAGTTACAGGGATCATAAAGTAAAATGTACAAAAAGATTTTCATTAAAAAAAAAAACTTTCTTCATCCCTTTCTTTGGTAATTCATTTTTTTGTTTATTTATCTGGAGACTTTCATGCAAATACAACTAAATATGAAAGCGAATTCCTTCTCCAAACTATTTTTTTTAATTCATTTAACAGGTAGAGATAGATAATGAGAGAGAAAAGAGAAAGGTCTTCCTTCCATTGGTTCACCCCCCAAATGGCCGCTACAGCTGGCGCTGTGCCGATCCGAAGCCAGGAGCCAGGTACTTTCTGGTCTCCGTTGCATGCAGCAGCCCAAGCACCTGGGCCATCCTCCACTGCCCTCCCAGGCCACAGCAGAGAGCTGGCCTGGAAGAGGAGCAACCAGGACAGAACTGGCGCCCCAACTGGGACTAGAACCCGGTGTGCCGGCGCCGTAGGTGGAGGATTAACCCAGTGAGCCAGGGCGCTAGCCCCCTCCAAACCCTTTTGAATACTAATTATAGCAAGGTATTCATATTCCTCTGTTACTTCTTTTTTTCTACACAACTATATATTAGGGAATTTTCCACGATCGGTTCCTAAAGGAATTACTTACCCTTTTTAAGGGATTTGAAGTTCTCTAGTGATGAACAAATGGGTTGAGTCCTATTGTTGGTTTTTGGAAAAAATACTTCATGGAAGCCTCTTGCACATGCCTCGTTTTGCATGTATATGTACACATTTGTGGGCCAAGTTACACAAAATCACAATTGCTGGGGTGAAGCATATACTTATTTACAATTCTAACAAATAGGTCAAATGTCCCTTCTTTTGGGGTTTGTTAGCTCATGCTCTCACAAGTAAAATATGAGAATACTTGGCCAACATAATGTATTGTCCATTTTAATTTTCCCTTTTTTCCAATATGACAGGTGAAAATGTTATCTCATTTCAATTTTTTCATTTATTATGAGGTTGGGCACCATTAGAAACCAACAGGAGTCTTTCGATTACAAGTGAAAACCCCCAGCACTTCATTTGGCTTTAGAAAAAGGGACTCATTATGATTACAACTGAAAAGGCAGAGATAAATCAGAGCTTCAGTATGTCTGGACACAAGACTCACCAGATTCCATCAAAGCTCTCAATCCCCCCCACCCCCACCCCCACCCCCGCCCCCAGTCACTCTATTTCTTTTTTTTTTTTTTTTTTTTTTTTTTTTTTTTTGGTATCCAGAATTTGGCTTTATTTTGCAGTACAGAAATCATTTGGAGCCACAGTACAGAAATCATTTGGAGCCATTTCAGACAGACTAAAGTAGAGGCTCTGTCAAATCAATACTGCATTGCAGCTTGGTCCATTGAAGAAGCCACACCTGTGATATAAAAGATACTTCTACATTTTACCTGCTTTATGACCGATTCCTTTCCCCTTGGTCTCACCAATTTCATTAGTTAAAACACCACAAAGTGGCTTCCTCCAAATGACTCCCTATCTCTGGAGTTTGGTTATAATTTATGCCCACATAAACCAAATCTGTGGCTATACTATTTGGGACCTGCCATAATATGTGATAAAACACAAAACAAAATTAGAGGGAGAACTTGGGGGTGCTGTTTCAAATTATGGACTATTCAGTGTAGGATCTCAGTGTCATAAGGACAGATGGCACAGACATACAGATACAGTTCTTGAGCAGCAGAGGCACAACTGCCAAGACTATGCTGATTAAAAGATAAAAATACTGTATCAAGTTCTCTGTATCAGTATCACAATGTTTGTTTAAAACTGATCTTTCACAGGATGTGGGGTGGTTTGGTTAAATTGGAACAGAACGTGGTAACCTGCCAATTCTGAATAGCCACTCCAAGAACAGAAGTTAATACATGATATTAGAAAGATGAAGGGGGAGGAATATTTACTGGTATAGTGCTCTTCAATCCCTCCATTTTAATTACAAAAGCAGGCTTTACAATACTGATTTCATACAATATGCATTATTTGCCAAATTTTAAATTTGTCCCAATTTAGTAACATGTACTGTTGTTAGTCTTCCCCATAGATGTCATTTTTCTTGCGCTTCATTTCCTCAAAGTCAAACTCTGATCCTGTCATCCTCTTATAGATGTCTTTAATGTCATCACAAGTTGTCTCAAAGTGAGTCGTAGCATCATATGTGCGGGAAATAAAGATCTGGCTTTCTTTTCCCAAATCTTTTGGCACAAGGAGGTCACTGATGCTAACAAATTTCTGTTCAATTGGTTCCAACAGTTCCAAAGCTGGTCTGATTTCTTTCTCAGGTTCCTTGGTTTCCACAGTTGTACTGACTATGGCAATGTACTTCCCTTGTGCTGCCACATTGTGTGCAGAGGAAATCATGCAGACATAGATATCTGACTTTCGATTGACTTGGTTTTGTGGAATAATGATCTGGCAGGAGTTGGCATCGTTGGTATTCTTGATGGGATGACTAAGAATGCAGATAACTCTTATCACCTGGCCCACTTTCTCCACCCGATCTTTTACATAGCTGGGGTCACAGATGAGCTGCTTACAGCGAGCAATCTCTCCTTCAGATTTTACACCAACCACCTTCCCATTCTGCACAATGATTTCTTCGATAGGTTTATTCAGCATGTAGGTACCACCATAAATAGCACTTAGCCTTGCAAATCCTTGTGGGAGTTCCCCAAGGCCATAGAGTGGATAAAGGTATGGGCTTTTGCCATATCGCGCCAGAGACTCACTGTAAAGTTTAATTCTATTAATGGTTTCACAACATGGTTGATCTAAGTAGTCATCAGTTCTATAGAGTGCAAGAGCATGACCTGTAAAATCGATAACATCTTGGCCCAAATCAAATTTCTTATACTCATCTCGCATTGCAGTCTTCTTGGGATCAACACCTTCAAAAGTTCTAGCATCGTTTTCATCAAAGTTGGCAACATACACCAGGAATTTTCTGAAGCGACGTTTTTCAAATAGTCCCATTAAGCTAGATGCAAGGGCTTCTGCTTCAGTGGAAGGAACCTTGTAGATTTTTCCTCCTTTATAGACAAAGCTTCCTTCTGTCACTTTGAAATCCAGATAACGAGTGACTTCTGTATAAAGCAGCATCTTAACCAGCTGACCATTAGCCATAAGGAACTTGGGAATTAAGTCAACATTCCAGTCTCTTCCTCTCCCCATTGATGATGGTGGTGATCCTGGTATTTTAAATCTTTTGTATAAATCTTCCAGAGGTGTTATAGATGCACTTTCTCCTCCATAGTATGGGTTTTGATCCATGTGAAGAACTTTCTTTCCATTCACTGACATGATACCCGACAAGATACATTCCGTCAGGCCGGTGCCCAGCACGATCACGTCGTACTCCTCATTCATGGCGGGGTAGGGCGAGGTGGACGACTCGAGAAAGGAGAAAAGCTAAAAGACCTTGCGGCCACTCTAAGGAGGCGGAGAGGAGCTCAGAACGCTCTCAGGTTAAGGGAAAAGGGAAGGCGGGAGGCTAGAAAAAAAATGGAGCTGACGAGGAGGCAAGCCCAGCCACCACCTCCACTCTATTTCTCTGTATCTAGCTCCCCTCTGCCTTGGCAGTCTCTTCACTTGCTGGTTGAGTGAGCTCTTAGGCTACATCCTCACAGCTCCTTTTTTGGGCTGTATTTGCTTAGGATATCACTTCCCATTGAGGCAGATGTTGGGGGTTGCAGTTTTCTCTGGCATCAAGCAATCATAACTCATTTTAGGCAGAGCTGGTATTCCTGAATTGGCACCATGCACTTAACATATTAGCAGACAACACTATGGTAAGGTAGATACTTTAAAAATACATAGGTGCCTTTGCTTAAAGCAATGCAGACACTTAGTATCATTATGATTCTTTGCCCTGAAATTTTATTACATTTTTCAATAGATTATACAGTTACAGGGATCAAAAATTAGAATGTACAAAAAGATTTTCATTGAAAAAAATCTTCCTTTATTCCTTTCCTTATCCACTAATTTCTTCTAAATAGGTTTTACCTATCATAGGTAGGTGTATCTGACAGTAAATGATTCAAAGCACATTTGTCCAGCAAATCCAGTGGAAAAGCAATCCTCTCATCCTTGTCCATATCCTATCTTCAATCCCGGAAAATAATAAAGGAACCAAGCAGAAGATTCTCAACATTTCCTATAGGGGGCACTGTTGCTCTTTTCAGCAAAGCAGCATAACTGGAGCTGACAAGGTGCAAGAAACCCTGCTCATCCAATTTATGCCATTGACATTTGGGCACCAGCACCCCATACCTGACTTAGAATTCCAGAACCCCACTCTATTGGTATTGTATTTTTCTCCCAAAAATATATATTGAAAATATTTATGAAGAGTTTACATCATTCCAAATATTAAAAAAATAAAAGTATACAGTGATAGGCTTCCCCTCCCCCACTTACCCCTAAATCCCATGTAATACTCTTGCTCTGTGGATCACTGTTTCTCTCAGCATCTTCTCTAGTTTTCTGAGATATTCATATACATACAAGCAAATATAAAATGATATTTCAGCCCCACCCCCATTTTTACGCAAATATCTGTGCTTTAAACAATTTTTTCTAGCAATGCATGTTGAAGGGATGTCAATTTTAGCACAAAAAGGAATTCCTCATGCTTTTTCACAGCTTCATGGGTTCCCCTGAGAGATGTACTTTAATTTCTCATTTATCCAGACCCTCATTGATGGACATTTTGACTGATACCTTCTCTTTTTACAAACAACGCTATAATGGATACATGTTACTTCATTCCCCATTTAGAAACACATCTATAGAACAAATCCTGGAAGTGAAATTCTTGAGTTAAAAAATGATGCCTTTGTAATTTCAATAAACATTTGCAAACTACCCCATGGAATATAGCATCTTCAAACTCCCAGCAGCAAAGCCTGATAATTCCTGTTACTCTGTAAGTTGGACTATACAGTCAGTTATCAAGGTACTATTTATTGTAGGTCTGATAGTTGAAAAGTGATATGTCAGTGTGATTGTATGTCCTATATTTTCAGTTAAGCATCTTTTCATGTATTGAAAACCCATTGATTTAGTTGAGATATGTTCACTTACAAGAGTTAGAACACCCTACTCAGTGAACAAAGTGAAAAGAAATGTATTATTCATGTAATCGGATCTGCATGTTCTTGACTCCCAACCCCAGCTTTGCTCCATTTTACGTAGATTTTTCTCAGTGGTGACCCTGGCCACTTCAGACTTAAACTCTCACAGTTCCAAGTTGAGTAAAAACTTATGAACCAGATCCTCTTCTATCATTGACAGAAATGGAGTGTGATATTCACATGACTGAGTATAAAGGTTTGTTTTGTTCTAGGGATCCAGCTCTGAGGTAAATCCTTCTTCTTAAGCCAGGCAGAGACTTAACTTTACCCCCACTGTGTGGACTGCAGGTTTGGAATAAGGGTTTGGGGTTAGGGTTAGGATGGTCTCAAGGAAAATCAGAGTTGTATAACAAAAAGGAAAAGGAATGAGTTCCAAAGTGGGTACCAGGTATACAGGTCTTTCTTCTCACACATTTCATAAAGTGATCATGTCTACAGAAAAGTTTTAAAATTCACTCACCCCATTTCTAGTAGAAGTCCATGTAGTCTTGGTAATGTCAATGTGAGATGTCCAGATGATATGCATTCTTGATCACATCGGGCTCCTCACGACCCAGAAGGTTATCCTAAATCATAACATTAACCCCCCTTAAGCAATATACTAACCATGTAGTGATAGAAAAAGGGTCATGTAACTGCCATTAAAACTTCCTTTGGGAATGCAGAAAATGGGAAATCTGCCATTCTGTTGGAAATTTTTCTTTGGATGTTTTTGTCTTGCTGTGCTTTTTATCAGCTCATTTCCTGCTGGAAAGAGGACTTCGTTAGACACTGAGCATCACTGACCAACTGAGCACTGACTTTTAGAAAGATAACTAGTGAGAAAGACATTTACAAGGGTGGTGACGTAATCTACATTCTATAGACAAAGAAACTCAGGTTCAGAAAAGTTAGAAGTCCTTGCCAATGGTCACAAATGTATGAATGTGTCAGAATCTAGTTATTTTCTGTCTCCAGGACTCTGCCATTTCAACATGCTCTCTGACAGTTGGCTTGGTTTGTAATGCTTCTATGAGTGATTGTCGAAACTTCCACTTACAGCAAAATCAAAGGAAAATCTGTGGTCACAACCCCCAGTGATGCGTGCTAAACTCTTCTGCCTTTGGAGGAGGAACAAAGGGACCAAAACTTTTCAGTTCATCTCATAGGGGCTACCTGAGTCCTGGGATATCTCCTGATCATCACAGCACTCATGGGATGCCAGCAACACAGGCAGTGACTTTACCCATTGTAACACAGGGCTGGCCCCAAAACTTTGACCTTCCAAAAAAAGAGAGAGAGAGAGAGCGAGAGAAAAACACACAATAAAACAACAACAAAAAAATACATTAGAGATACTTCACATCAGAATAAAATTTCTGATTTTTTTACATCCTTAGATATTTACCATATGGATGTACCATACTTCATTTACCCAATTTTTCTTGTTGAACACTTAGATTCCCTTTCTTTCTTTTTTTCTCTTTTTTTTTTTTTTTTTGACAGGCAGAGTGGACAGTGAGAGAGACAGAGAGAAAGGTCTTCCTTTTGCCATTGGTTCACCCTCCAATGGCCGCCACGGCCGGCACACTGCGCTGATCCAAAGGCAGGAGCCAGGTGCTTCTCCTGGTCTCCCATGGGGTGCAGAGCCCAAGCACTTGGGCCATCCTCCACTGCACTCCCTGGCCACAGCAGAGAGCTGGCCTGGAAGAGGGGCAACCGGGACAGAATCTGGCGCCCTGACTGGGACTAGCAAACACTATAATGAGTAGCCTCCTACATACCATTCTCACATGTGTAAATACATTTGTACAATACATTTCTAGAAGTGAAATTTCTGGGGTTGTACTGCATGTATTTTTTATTTTAATAAATATTCCCACATTTTCCTTTATAAACATTGCAACAAACTAATTTATTTCATTAGCAGTTTCTGAAGGTTCCCCCTTCCTCGAAGTTTAACTATTTGAAATTTTTGCCAATCACATAAATAAAAATAGTATCCTTTTCCATTTTTATTTTTTCTCTTGTTTTGAGTTAAATGGAGCAACTTACCATATGTTTAAAGTTATGTTATGACTTTTTCAAAGCTGACATCAGAAAACCAAACAGTATAAAGCTTAAAGAAAAAGTGGTGATTTATTTTAGTAAGGCTTTGTAAGTGGTTTATTAGAACTTTGGAAACAAAGTTCCTTGTTTCCAGGTAAAGAAAATCTCTTGAAAGAGCTAGGTTCAGTTTCTCCCTCAGCCCCTGTGCAAGAGGACACTGGCACCTTCATGGTCCTGGGACTATCGGCTTTCTTCCCAGGTACTGACTCATCACTACCATCTGTGACTCTGGGGAAAGCAGCTCTGTACAGGTGTGGGAATGCACAACTGACCTGTCGCATCCCTCACAGAAGCAAATTTTTTTTTAACCTATGTCATTGCTCCTCTCCATTTGTAGTGGGAATTCCTCACAGAGTGAGCATGCCCAGCCCCAGGATCCTGTTCAAAATGATTGCCACAGTCACCTTGTCACCCCAAGAAGGAATCCAGTGCATCCCTCATCTTGAATTCAGCAGGAACTCAGGTCCCCGCTGAAATTCTTCTGCTGTCCTGTGTTCTAGAATTCATCTTTTGTGTAATGTGAGGAAGCAAAGCACAAGCCAACTTTCAAATTCAAAATCCTAATGGAGAGGAAAAAGCACTCAGAGTATAAGCCTGCGTTGACACCAAATTAACTCATTCAAAAAGAAAACCGGTGTTCCTCCAATGAACTCAGTTATTTCTTTTTTACTAAATTAGTTTAATTAACCAAATGTTTTGCTTTTAGATGAACATAACTTAATGCTGTTTTATGAGCTTGTTAGAAGTTACAGGCTAATCAGAAAAGCCAGAAGATATAGTCAACCTAGAAAACACTTCAAAGCATTGGGTCTGCCATCAATTCGTTCTTTATTATTGCCACTTCGCAGGGTATCTTTGTGTATGTACATGTTAGTGTGGAAAGAACATGAGTTTGGAGTCAATGAAGCTAGGTCGTGTAGTGTCCTTGACATTTGCTAGGTTGCGTGCAGAGTTCCCTCACTCCAGGATGTGTAGGAGCTGCTTGACCATGGCAGGCACTCGGCCTAGTGGTTACCATGCCAGCTGAGATGCCTGCACACCCCACTGGAGGACCTGAGGTTGAGCCCCAGCTCTACTCCCAACTCCAACTGCCAGCCGATGAAAACCCTGGGAGGCAGCAGGTGATGATGCAATAGTTGGGTCTCTGTCACCCACGTGAGAGACCTGGATGAAATTCCTGGCCCCTGGCATCTGCCCAGCCCAGTCCTGGCCATTACAGGCCTCTGGGGACTGAACCAATGGATGGGAGTGCTCTCTCTCTCTCTCTCTCTTTCTGCCTCTCCAATAAAACACCTGAAACAATATGGTTCACCAGATTAGAAAGCAGGAC